CTACCAAACCCTTGCCAAGCAAACCCAATACAGAAGACATAATCACATCTGTTTTTTTTCCACTGCATTTCTGCCTTTGTCAATGTACAGAATGAAGACGCTCACTTGGTAAGGAGTTATTCATTTTTTTGTCTGACCCTCCGCTCTTGAGCCTTAAATACGAACCTAATGTTTCTGCCATCCTCAGTTCCTCCTCCCCCACATCTAAGTGCCTCTCAATCATCCTCTCCTATTTCTCTCACAAGCTCCCAGTCCCACTTGGCTTCATTCCACCCCAAGAGCTTCTAGTGCCATCCCACCCCCTCCCCAAGGCATCCTCATTCGTCCTTTCATTTCAAGTGCTTTCACAGAGATACTGCCAACTCAACTCCTCGTTCCAAACTTCCCCTCGTCCACTCTACTCCAGTCCCCTTGTCTCATTCATCCAGCCCTAACAGAACAAGCACAGCAGTAACACAGCCACCGAGTATTTTTCTCAGACCAAAGTCCTTGATGTCCACTTCTCCTGGTCACCCTCACCGCAGCCATCATAGGTGAAACAAGCACAGTCAGTTGCTCTGTGGCTGGTAGACATGTCCAAACAACAGAAAGGGCACAGCATAGCCTCTACAGGTAGGATCACTGGAGATCTTTACATATACTGAAGTTGATACCTGACACAAAAGTAGGCCTTGCCAAATATTGTGTTTCCAATTGAAAAGTCAGAGGCACTGCACCACAGCATCATGCATACTGGAAGGGACCTTTGGAGGTCCCCTTGTCCAATCTGAAAAAGCAGGTTTTACCAGAACAGGCAGCTTCGGCACTTGTCCAGAGAAGTTCTCAACACGTGCAATTCCACAACTTCTCTGGGCCACATCCCCATGTTCAATCACCCTCACGGTAAATTTTTGTTGGGAGTTATATCTACCAGCATTTCCCATAAAGTAAAATATTAAAATGTATTTATCTGCCATCCTATACTGCTATAGCCCAGCAGATAAATGCAATTTAGAACAAGCACATAAAGAATAAATACTGTGTTATCTATACCATGCTCCTGTTCTGGAAAGCTGGATAGTTCAACACTAGCCCACACATAAAGCTTTCTTATGTTGCTGTTACTAGTAGTACTCTGTAAAGACTGTCATTCTCAGGGATTTTCTAAATGATGTTCTGTTAAACGTTTCTGCTGGACATTACTGGGGAGGCAAAATCTGAGCTTCTCAAAGGAATGTGCTACTAGCTTTGAAAAATTCAATTTTTGTTTGATAGAAACAAGGTAATCTCTCTCATCCCAAGAAAATTAAGGTACGGGTTGCTGTCATTAAGGAACTGGACTTCACACCTCAGCGTATTTCTTCTACTCCTCCCCTCCTCCCTTGACCAACTATCTCACAGAGGCAGTAATTCAAACTTGGTTATTTTGGTGTGTTCCTCCCAACGATTACTCCTTAGGCAGTTATCCTGATTTTTATGACTACATAACTATTCACCGGAAAGAAAGACAAGGAGAATAGAACTAACAGAACAAAGAACAAAAAGACAAATTTTTTAACAAATCTTTTAATTGCCCACAGAATGATGTTGGGAAGATAATGAACAAAAACTTAAAGCACTCCTGCAGGAACATATGTTCAACCTATCTGATATTAGTGAAGTTGGTGGGATGATTCACATGAATGTAATGCTAGAAATCAAGATATAACCTCTTTAGAGCAACAATGGAGAACAAATGGCACTGTGTGCCAAAAATGTCATTGTCTGTTTCTGAGTCACTGTCAACAGAAAATCATGTCTTAAGAAATAAAGTACAAGTCAGGATACTAGCTGGGGCATGCTACAGATACGAAATCTCACCTAGCATGGTGCTTAAGCATCTATTGCATCTTGTTGGAAATAAAAGTTTCATTATCACAGTGGACATAACACCGAGTGAGATAACCTGGAGCTTTCATACTGCCATTATCAGAACATGCTTGAAATTTCTAAAAATTGAGGACAATTTCTTATGCTGAGAAATGTTAAATCCAACCCAAGGGAAAGCTGTGTTCGACTTCATCCGGACAGATAACAAGTACCCCACTGTGTCATAGAGAACAAATACAGAACAAAGACCGTTCCTGCCCCCAGGTCTTAGAATCAAAGGACATATTCCCAAACATATCTTTGCAAAACGACTTAAGCGGTCCCACCCCCTGCCCACACTACCCCCTCAGCTGTGCTGACAGAACTGTTTGTAGCAATGCAGAGCGAACCAGTTTAGGGAATCAGATCTGAGTTAAACCAGAACAGGGACCTGATCTGAGCAAAAAAAACACCTTTCTTTCTTCCCCTCCCTCCCCTTTTTTTTAAGAGCATACTTTTAACTTATCAATTCTCAGATTCGGTTCATTACCTGGTGCAACGGAGGTGACAGAACAAGGCAGGGACATACAGCTGCTGCCTGGAAACTTTTTAGCCTGAACTGCCCATATGGGCAAGAAAGAAATACAGACAAAGCAAAAGGAGGACTCAAATTATCGTTGTGATAGAAAATAGTTTATTCTTCTAAATTTCAAACTTTGCTATTCCAAAATACAAACATTTAAAATAAAGTACCTCGAAACCTCCCCTGATTTTTGACTTATTGACTGGCATGTCTCAAACACGAGTTTGCATTTTTAACAGCTTTGATTTTGATGGCTCTGCTTGCTCAGAAATATTTCTCCTTGACGTGGAGGTGGGCAGCTATGTTAACACAGCTTTGCAGCTTGGGAGTTATCAATACAGATACACAATTCCCAGTCGTTCAGATTTTATTTCACAAGATTTAATCGTATGCTTCAGTGGGGAGATACTCTTTCACTACATGGACTATTATTCTTCAAGAGAGATACAGATTGTGTGCATGAGCACACCTACTTATTCCTCATTTCATCGTATTTCCATAATGCCTTTATATAATGGCTCTTTCACTACCAAGTCTTCCTGTTAACATATTTCTCCTTTAAAAATACTTCCAGTTTTGTTTTTGACTGTGGTGCCTGTTTTTATTTAAATTCAGTCCACTTACCCAACATCTTATTTCTTAACATGGGTTTATAACACACATGTTCTGCAAGAGGAACTATGTGTTCATTTATCAGGAAAAAAACGGATGATTTCAAGGTTACTTGGTTATACTCTAATGCTTATGACAAGAAGGAAGAAAGCAAAGAAAGAATAGGGTTTAGCATCTTCTCCAGTTAAACAGGACCAAGATTTGCGTGTATTATATACTAATGGTCCTATGCATAAATACGACATTTACTCAAATGTGCAACATTTCGAAGCTTTGTGGAGCCTGGCTTGCAAAACTTTAAAAGAAACTGTAAGCATTATGTTATCGGTTGGGCTTGGTCTTAGATGCAACATCCAAGAGAACCTGAAGTGTACCTTAGCACACTGACAACAAGATCCACCAGAACTGTCTTGTCCATTTCTCAGACAAGCAGTTATTACTCTAAAAACCAAGGCCACTTTCCTTCCAGCACAGAGGTATATAATGGCTGAAAGTACAACTGAGGCACTAATTCACAGCATGCAGCAGAAATAAACCAAGCATGAGGTCCACTATGCCTGTTCCTATGCCAAAACACACTTCACCTAAGGGATGACGAGAAACAGGAGAACCCGTTTTTCCCCTGTCCCACCAGGAGCTTTCGTCACACACGCTGCATAAAGCTGACACGGTGAAGAAAGCTCAGTAGGCCAGCAGAGTGTGTACATTGCAGCTGAAATGTCCAGAGAATTCAAAACAAATATCTTAAAAGATTTAATTGCAAATAGAAAATGGCAACTTTATGAAGCTTATAATTCAGACAAATCCAGACTGGCTGTCTTGGGAAATAGTTCACAATTTCCAAAGCTATCTTCCTATTAAATCTCATATTTCTTATCTACATCTTTGAGATGCCTAGGGGTACTTAAGAGTAATCAAGAATATTTTCAATACAGTCAAAAACATTTTTCAGTATGTCCCTCTCAAAAAAAAATTTAGCTTAAACTTTGCCTTGAAATTGGCAGTAAACAGGAAAACATCCTTATTAACACCTGATAATAAACCAAAAAAACCGAAACCACAGAAACTTGAACAATGTAATATGATGGGCCTGATTCAACGCACAAGCATCAAGAAACATAAACACTGCCGTTCAGTATCACTGGTGCTTCGGCTATGGATCTGCTTCCAGTCAACACTGGAACTGGCTAATTTGCAGGCCAGCCAATTCTTATTTTCACCACCATCTCTCTTTCTAGGCATACGATAAGGAAAATTTTCTTACATTTGCCTGTCTGAGGAAAAAAACCCCCACGACTGTTTGCTGACAGAAGGGTTTCCTGAATTTACCACCATACTAAATATATTGATTCAGCTAATATGATAGTTGCTAAAACAATACTTGTTTCAGTGGGTATTAAAAATAAATTCTTCCAAGAGTCAAATGTCTATACAGCAGGCTTAGGACAGATTGGCCCCCTTCAATTTCTGCTGGGCAATAGGAAGCTGGAAGAATACAGAAGCTACAGTAACTGTAAAGCACAAACACCTAAAATTAGCCTCTACATGGTTCATCTTTCTGGATACCTGCTCAAGAGAATACAAACTGCAGCACCAGAGAGGTTCCCTCAAGCTGGAAGTCAATACTCTGCAGGAGAGTGCAACAGGAATAAAAGCAGTTACATGAAGACTGCACCAGCCCACAGCACAGGACACCATCCTCACCAGCAGCATCATTAATAATTAACTCACAGGAGCAGACTGCTCAGGAAACCGGTAGAGGGGCTTTCACCAGAGTCAGTTCAAGGACAAGGTGACTCAGGCTGCGCCGAAGCCCAGACACAAGACTTTCAGCCCCTCCTCTCCACTCCCAGCCACCATCCCACATCCCTTCTGATGATAGCACTCCTGCTATCTATCGAGCGAGCTGATGCAACAAGAAAGGAGCATTTTACACCTCTCGCTCTGGATCAGCTTCCATCACCTAGCTCACTGTGCAGCCAGCCCATCCATCCCTCACATGGCCGGAGGGTCGGGGCAGTAGGAAGAGGAGTGCAGCCCCCTCCAGCCATGGGGATGTGACATGAACTGGCTGTGAAACGGCACCCTGAGCCCTCTGTTAACAGCAGAGAGGGTCTGTAGCTGGAGGGAAACTACCTCTGGGTCCCAGCCTAATTCCTAGAAGCAGTCAGCCATAAACTAAAAAACATTACCAAAACTGGCACTAATAAGTATCTGATGGTGAGATGAGCAGAAAGGCAAGGATTATATAAAATTGAATGCTGTACCCTTTCACCTTCCCATAAGACTCAGTCACACAACAACAGCATAAGGCACACTCTGAGTAGCTAAACGTTAAGTTCTGAGTCCACACTCCAGGATCTTCCTCTCAGAAATAAGGAACTGTGTACATAATACATAATGCACATTCTAACCACAGCCCTTAAAACACTGAACAACATCCATGAAAAATAATCATTTAAAACCCATTAAATTATACTTCAGGAATTCCACTCAGTGCAAATCTGTGAAGCTGATCTACGGGCTAAATAGACACATGTACGGCCACACTTATAAAGAGAAAAAATGTCTCTTCTAAGGCACAAAAAAATTTCATAGGGCAGCATTAAATTTCATAAGCAGATGTTTTCATGCCCTCTGTTAACCAATTTGTTTCAGTAAGCGAGTGGAAAAAAATTAAAAAAGATATCCATTCATTCTTTGTGTGTATGCTTTACTTCAAACAATTCCAGGAATCTATTGTAAATCTAAAAAACTCCTCAGTCACCACAGCACATTGTTCCCCAAAGGAACAGTGGGTCAAATTCAAAGTACCAGCAATAGAGTCGCATTCAGAACTTTTTCTATAGAGCCTGGAATGGACAAAACCTCCAAAGTCAGCGCTGAGTCTTCAGGGGGAAAAAAAAATAAGGTTGTGAACTTAAAAGAAGAGAGAGACCAACAGACAAATCCCCACTGAGTAATTATAAGGAGAAGCTCTCCCAAACATGAGCTAACTAGCACATAAAAGGCAATTCAGTAAAAAACATGGTCAAGTCAACTAGCAGATTAACATGCACTCATAATTGGCTACAATCACTGGAAAAGTAATCTGAAGAAAACGGACAAAATCCAGGCACTGGTGAGAAAACTCCAATAATTAGAGGTATTTCAGTAAGGCAGACAGCACTCTGAGCATGCACTATGCTTCTGAAATGATGATGCCCTTGTCCGCCTCCAGCTGCTCCATACTGTTGGCCTGCTGGAAGTTTTCATCTCATTCCTACGCCTACCAGCATCTGCTAACCTATTTCAGACAAAAGAAGTCAGGTCAGCTTAAACACTATAAATACTACACCTGTCCTAACCCACCATGTTTTGACTGGGGCGGGCTGGGGAGCGCCCAGACTAACACCAAGGGTGGCACATCAGACCTCCCGACAGAGATCTTGGCGATGGACACAGCCACCACCTGGGCTTCTCTGCAGAGCGACCCCGCGAAGGCCAGTACTTCTCCCCAGAAAGGAAGGGTTCTTATTTCCTTTTGAAAGAAAGGGAAATAATAGCTGAAACACTCAGAATGCAGCATCTGTCCAATTCCAAACCCAGAGGAGCACAGAAAGGGCGCTCCCTGTATTTTACACTGGTGTCACTCTGTGATACGCTCTGTCAAGTGTCTTCAGTCAACAAGATTTTAGTCTTCCCTACACAACAGCAATTTTTTACCTTTTCCTACATATTTACAAAATACTTAATTTTAACATCTCACAGGCACTCTCTAACCAACATGCCACCATCAGGCAGCTTTACCATAGGCAGCATAAAGCGCTGCCATCCTCTTCCACCCGCAGTGTCATTAAATTCCAAGAAGTTCCATGAAAGCATCAGCGATTGCCAAAAGGACCCGGACCCCACCCTTTTGCTGTTATTAGTGATATTTACATTTCTTTGAAGGCAAATATTGTCACCACCCTCCTCTCACTGCGTCACTGTGCAGTTAAGACCAAAGATACCCAGGTAGCCAAGCTAGCTTTGTCATCTCTGTTGATTTTATAACACCTCTTTTGCCAGGGATGGTACATCCTGACCAAGGTCTGTCCTGAATAAGGGACCTGCTTATTCAAACTCCTTAGCCAAAAACTTAATTCAGAAACAGTGCAAAGTGGGTGCTTGCATTTTGTGAGGACTCGTTAAGCCAGTTTACAGGAGACTGAGCAGCTTGGCTCATCTAATGCCACAGCTGAAAGTTAACTATCTGGGAGGAAAGCAGTACACTCTATCAACAGCCTTAGTATTTAGCTTTGAAAGAAAAAAGAAGCCAACGCTTCTCTAAAGAGCGAAGCGTGTGGTTTTTTGAAAGGAACTATGGACAGGCAAACATCTGACATTTCAGAATAATGAGTTTTGAGTTATC